TTGCTCTGAGCACTGACTTCTGGATAGTGGCCACAGGCCCCAGCTCCTCTTCCCACAGCGGCCTCTGGCCGAGGACACATGAGATCCAGGTAGCAGGTAAAGTGCCGTGGGCTCCCTGGTGGTGGGAATGGCCAGTGGGGAACAGACACCCACAAGTCTCATCCTGCATTAGGTTATATCCATGTGACACAGAGCTTCTGTATCCTGGCTGCCCTGTGGAGCCTGGTGTCCGTGGGCTTCCTGATTTTGTCTTACAGTCCAGCCCTATCCCTCCCAGGCCGTGGCCCTCTGGTGTCAACTGTCATGGCTTTTGCTGCAGGTATGAATGGAATCTGGGCTGCACTGGGACACCAGGGCTGGTGAGTCCTGCAGTGGCCAAGCCAGCTCTCTCTTGTTCTTGTTTTCAGCTCTCTCCATAATAGTGGCCATGGCGGTGTACACCAGTAATAGATGGAGCCAGACTCCATTTCCGCAGGTCCAGACATTCTTCTCATGGTCCTTTTACCTGGGCTGGGCCTCCTCTATCCTGTTCCTCTGTGCAGGTGACTATGTAGCCCATCTCCCCGGGAGGACCCTGCTGGGGTGTGGGGAGAGGCAGTGCAGGGCACTCAAATACTCAATCTCTCCTCCCATCTCTGTCTCCATACCAGGCTGCCTGAGCCTGGGTGCTCACTGCAAAACCCCCCGGGCTGGGTACGAAACCTTATGAACAGAAGGCAAGCCAGCAGGGTCAGCAGGATGCCTGGAGCCTGGTCCTCACAGGAGCCACAGAGAAAATGCAGGACTCTGGCTCTGTCCCTCCCACCTTGTCTTGCCCTTCATTGCTTTCTTCACACATTCAATAAAAACATACGGAGATCTAATTGTTCCAAGATCAATTCAGTCAAGAAATAAGCCAAGCCAGGCCTATCTCCCAGTTGCTGTGGAGGCTGGAGCAAGGGTGTCACAACTTCCAAGCCTGTTTGGGCTATACAGAGAGTTCAAGGCTGGCCTGGGTGACTTCCGGAGATCCTGCCTCAAGGCAAAAACTAAAACGTGGGCAGGGATTGTGGCTCAGTGGAAGAGATTTGCTGAGCATGAATGAGGTCCGAGTTCTTTCCCCAGCACCTAAGTCAACCATGCTTAGGGTGGGTAAGAGAAGAGCCCTCAGGAGAGGGAGAGCCATCAGCTGCACACCAGAAGTGGATTCTGCCCTGTGTGGACATAATTTTCCTGTGTTTCTTTCCCGTCTTCAATTGTTTTTCTTTCTCCCATTTTCTTTTTTTTTTTTTTTTCTTTTTTGAGACAGGGGTTCGCTGTGGCTTTGGAGCCTGTCCTGGAACTAGCTCTGTAGACCAGGCTGGTCTCGAACTCACAGAGATCCGCCTGCCTCTGCCTCCCAAGTGCTGGGATTAAAGGCGTGCGCCACCATCGCCCGGCTCTTTCTCCCATTTTCTCTTTCTCTTTTCTTCCCCAAGTGGCCCCCATTTTTACCAGGTATTTCCTTTTCTCTCTGTGAGGCCACTTCTAGACCACTGATATGCATCACAAAAGGCTGTAACCACTAGCTTTTGACGTGGGCCAGACAACAGCCACAGCCTGAGGATGTGGGATGAAAACTAAACCCAGGCATATCTTTTATTTTTTTTAAACCAGAGATGATATTTAGCAACTATTCTTTAGGTTTAACATAGAAGATGGGCCACAGAGCATCCTTCAAGCTAAGGCAAGCCTTCGACCACCAAGCTACATGGCCAACTCCCTTGTACCTTTGGAGACAATGTCTTACTAACTGTCCAGGCAGTCCTTGAATTCACAGCAATTCTCCTGCTACAGACTCTGAAGAATTAGGATTACAAATATTCATGAGCACAGGAATTATGCGATCCAGGCAGAGGTGCCCAAAGATGGAGACATGGAAAGGATATGAAAGGGGGTGATTTGTGTCTAGACTGTAGAATGTGGTGGCAGTGGGAAATTATGACAGAGAGGCAGAAGGGAGCCAGGGCCTCTATTGCCAAAGCTAGTTTTCTCCTGAGAATGGTGGCCAATTGTGCAATAACTGTGAACAGTGGAGAAGCTGTCCCAAGTGTGTGAGAGAGAGTGACTGGGGAGTGAGACTGGAAGGTTGGAAAGCTGGTAGGAAGGGACAGAGCTTGGGGTCAAAGGCATAATGGAAGCAAGGGGAGCTGGCCTGACAAAATGAGAGACAGCAGAGTTGCAACAAGTTTGAGTCCATGCCAGTGATCTTCCTGGCAATGTGGTTGAGTGGCCACAGAGGAATGCTGGGAGCAGGTGAGGCTCTCTGGGGATCAGATGAGGAACCTAGGGCTGGAGGTGACATTTTGGTTGCTCTCTCAGATCTTCAGGGTCACTATCCTTAAGGAGAGGAGGGCTCTCCTAGAGAGAGGGTTATGATGGCACCCAGAGGAGATCAGCATTACCAGAGGAGTAGAGGAGAGGGTCAGAGAGGGCACAGACTGAAAACTGGGGGCCAGGAGAGCTTATGGGGTATCATGATAGTTAAAGGAAGAGCAGCTTTATAACAACATCAGCCAAGCAATAGCTGTAGCTTTGGAGCTCCTTCCTTCTTTTTATCCTTCCTTTCTTCCTCACTTCTTCCTTTTCTTTTTTGAGACGGGAGCTTAGCTGGTCTGAAACTCATATGTAGATCAAGCTAGCCTCAAAACTGAAAGTAATCCTCCAGCTTCCTTCTAGGATTACAGGCAGGAGCAACCAAGCCTGTTCCCAGGCCTGCTTTCTGAGCTCTGTTAAGAGAGCCTTGGAAAGTAGGCTCAGAAGTTGAGTTCAGTTCCCAACACCCACAGCATGGTGGCTCAAAGCCAAGGAACTTCAGTTCCAAGGGATTCAGTGCCTCTGCCTCCACTGGGCATCTGCACTCATACGCACAAAACCACACACAGACACGTGCATACACAGAACCACACACAGACACAGAACCACACACAGACACATGCATACACACAACCACACACAGACACATGCATACACAGAACAACACACAGACACAGAACCACACACAGACACATGCATACACACAACCACACACAGACACATGCATACACACAACCACACACAGACACATGCATACACAGAACAACACACAGACACAGAACCACACACAGACACATGCATA